CTAAATGCATACTGCCACAACTGGTTCAATTTTCAGTGGGACTCTAAAACAAAGCAGGCACACCCAGCAGCATATTGATGGCAGGATTCTGAGTTAGTTTCATATTCAGTATTTTAAAAAATCTAATTGTTTCTATAAATATCTGAAGACAAATGGAGTTATCATCAAGGTACTCAATTATCAATTCTTTCCATTTGCCATTGTGACAAATATGTTCTCTGCAATAGCTTTAATAAAGACCATTAGTAAAGGAGGCAAGAGAAAAACACATAGATGTCGTGTACTTAGTTTAAAAGTTTAATATCAATTAAAAGTAAAATATTTCCTATTAATGGCTGCCTATACATCATGGGAATTTGTTTTTTAAAACCAAGTGCATCAGATTAGTGATTACTTCATAAGATAAAAGAGAACAAGATAAGAATGATCATCCAAATCAATTCATGGGTTATGTCTTTAATTCACTTCATTCTCTCATATGTAATCATAACAATATGCAATCATAACAAGATTTGGTAAAATGAACTCCCTACCAGATCCAGTTTGAAGCACACATTATTAAAATGCATAGTTGTCCACCTTCATTTCAATGAAAATTCTGATTGCCTGCATACAGTTTTAATCTCGTTCTTTGCATGGGCTGCGTCATTGCTCTGGGTATCATTATTTCTCAACCATGGAAAACATTCAGCCGCTTTCACAAACGTGCAACCTGGATGAATGGTGCCTTGTTATATTCACTGATTCAATGCTCAGTGTTAAATTTTTAAAGCTCATCTCCATAAAAAGTATCCTGAATAACTAATAATTTTCCATTTTTAAATTATTGACAGCCATCACTGCTCACCAGAGGAGGGGTTTCTGGGTTTTTGAATTACCCTCCCCTCACACACACTCCCCAACACCAACATTTACATATCTGCATTCAAGTACTACTCTTTTTTTCTTTTTGAGATTGGCACCAGAACTAACATCTGTTGTCAATCTTTTATTTTTCATTGTCTTCTTCTTCTCCCCAAAGGCCTCCAGTACATAGCTGTATATTCTAGTTGTAGGTCCTTCTGTTTCTGCTATGTGGGACGCCACCTCACCATGGCTTGATGAGAGGTGCTAGGTCTGCTACCAGGCTCTGAACCAGTGAAACCCTGGGCCTGCAAAGTGGGGCAGGCGAACTTAACCACTTGGCCATGGGGCGGCCCTTTAAGTACTAGTCTTATCAGCTCTGTAGTATGTATTTGTTTCACTTATTATATGACACACTTCTTGAGTGCCACTACATTAATGTTGGTTGAGGAAGACAGTTAAGGAATTAGGACTTTAATGGAGTAAGGCAGTGAGTTCAACACTTGAAAATTACTTACTGTAGAAAAACTACTATGCTTGTTGTACTGCCTATCTATAGTCATAAAGAATATCTATGGAACTACCATATATTCTCCTCTGTTGAGACCTCAAAGACAATATGAATGACAGAGCTCTGAAATCCTAACATGGGGATTCTGACCAGCAAGAAACACATTCAGACTCTGAAGTGACTGGTTTTGCACTATGACATATCAATCCAAACATTCATATAAATTAGGTTTTGGGAAACTCTCAAAACGTAACTTTAATTAAAATGTAGAGCTCTGTAATACATAATGGCACTTCTACTGAAATCAAACAAGGTGTGATAACTTCATAAGGGGTAAAAAAAACCCACTCTATTTATAAGTGCCAAGTGACCTGACAAATATGCTTTCAAGTATATTTAGTGTCTACAGATTTTTTAAAAGTTTTACTTTGGATGCATCCAAATTATGTGTACCCAGGTACCAAATAGACAGGTAATTCTAATTAGATGTTTTTACAAATGATGGTATTTATTACATAGTCAGCTTTTGATTAATTTTGCACGCCAATGAAAGTACAGTTAGAATGATATAGAAAATGTTTTTTTAAATAGGTACCATTACTATCTGTATTTGAATAATGAGCACAGCACAATTTAGAAAGGTCCTCTAACCTAGGCCTTTGATGCCAAATTCCTTGCCCTTTTTTCTATACCAGGTCAGCAGGAGGTCACCAAATACAACCAGGCGCCTCTTTTTGTACTGCTGGGAGCCAAGAATGGGTTTCCTATTTTTAAATGATTGAAAAAAATCAAGAGAATGTTTAAGACATGTGAAAATTATATAAAATTAAAATTTCAATGTCCATAAATGAAGTTTTATGAGAACAAAACCATATCCATTCTTTGAATTGTCTATGGCTAGTTTCATGTTACAAGGGCAGAGTTGAGTGGTTGTCACAGAGACAACTATTTAGGCCTTACTTTAGGCCTGTAAGCCCAAATATTTAGTATTTAGCCATTTTCAGAAAAAAATTGCCAAACCCTGTCCCATACTAACTGTCAAGTGAGGGGCATAATCTTGAAGACTCTTTGTGAGATCCAGATGTATGTTGCAACTCATCACACTGCTTAGACAAGAACTCTGATGTCTTAACTCTGTGTTCTTTCAGTGCCTAACAAGTAGGCACACTTAATGTTTGTTGAACGACTAAATAAATGAATGAAAGATATTCATATAGTACGTGAGTGGTTTATAAATGTTAACAGCCCTTATACTTCTTGCCTGCTTAAAAATATGAAGGCCCTGAAAGGGTAATAGCATTGAGACATAGAATAAGCATAAAATGACAATGTATATATTTTTACCAAAAAACAGAGAACTGTTTCTACATTCCTGTTTACCTAAGCATATCTTTTCCCTCATTTTTAAGGGCATTAAATACTAAATAGGTCTCTTGCATAATAAACAGAATACTTACTAGAATTCAAGCAAACCTTGGGTGTTCAACAATTCACTTTGCCCAAAGAAGATTAGAACCTAGACTTTAGAGTTATTTTAATAGCTACACACTATGAAACAATATCTCACAAGATTATTAACTACATAAGGCATACTCTACTAAAAAATAAAACTACAAAACAAATAGGTATTCTGCACTCCAACTGAGAATTCACTAATTTCAAATAATAAATTATACAAAAAAGTTTTGATTAAATAAAAGAATTTGAACTTTACTTAGGGTTTAGTGCTAAGGTACCTTTAGCTTAGGTGACTTTTGTTTTAATTCTTTTTTAGTGGATTAAATTTGCTGGACTTATTTTCCTTTACTAATTTATACCAAAAAAAAATTAAGATACGCAAGTTAAATTCTTAATTTTATATAAAAAGGAAACTTTCTGGAGACTTAAAACTGATTTTTTAAAATTTATATTACCTTAAAGACAACAACGAGTAGTAAAAAATATGCCAGCCAGCTTAAAATGCACCACGCTGGTCCAGAGTCTTAGTCAGCACAAAGTGAACAAGGAAAAGCCAGCTTGATAATGGCCTTTGGTTATCCCAACACCCTGATTATCACCCAATTTTTATCCCCTTCTTCATTTCAACTCCTACTTGAATACTGGATGGAACCGCATTAACACAGTTTTCCTATTAGACATAATAACCAAACATATTCTCGCAGTGAACATATTAAAAGATATTTTTTGTCAAAATCATTACCCTTTCTAGTGTTAAGTATACAAGTTAGGAAAGATAGCCCCCAGTGAAACAGTTACTTAGATTTCAGGATATATTTTCCCTGGAAACAAAGTGGTTAGGTTTCCAGGCTAATCAGTAAATGCCTACTGAACACAACTTTAATACTAACGGTACTCTGGAACTTGACTAGGTATCTTACTGTGTTTCTATGGAAAACTCTCAAGTTTCTAATTTACAAAGAGCAGAACCACATCTTCCCACAAACCCCTCCCCAACATAAACCCTTTGTAAAACCAGAAACTCTTCTGTAGACGCAGTATTGTAGGAGATGTAGGTGGAGGAAGATGAGTGTAAGGATACCAGTCTCAGGGTTTCTTTGCTTCCTTTTATCCTCATTTCTGCCTCAACACAGAAAGCCAAAATGAATGGTGGAAATGAGCAGTTGTGCTACTTCTTATCTTCATAAACAACTCTTTTTTTACTGCAAAAAATTTACCAAAAAGTGAGAACATTTCTTAGAGGTCAAGAGACACAATATTTAAACTCAAAATGTTTTTAGACAGTGTTTTTTGTCACAGATATTATAGCAGTATTGAATGAATCAATGTTATTGAACTAATGAATGACTGGTTGGCAAAAGGAGCAGGTCAAAGTTTGCTGGGAAATTAGTGAAAATATATACTAGAATTAGGAAAGAACAATCACACAATTAACAAGAGGTTTACACAGATAAAAGTGTTAACTAGATACATCAAAACAGTTCAGTGAGAACTTCAGTTTGTTGCTCAATTGATTTAACTTTATAAAGAGAAAACTTTCCATTTCTAATGTAAAAATAAAGTAGTAGAAAATATCTGAATTTGAAATCACCCTTATTAATCTCTTGAATAATTAGGTCCTATTCAGTTTCATTAATTTTACATTTTGTGAATCTTTTGCATAAAGAAAACATGTGGAATGTATGGAAATGCAGCGTTTATACCTGTAAAATGAGGCAGGCTTTGGAATTACACCTGGTTTCAGATGCTAAGTCTGTCACTTATTGGTACTACAATCTTAAGTAACTAAAGCTCTCTGAGCCCTAGTTTCTTCATCCATAAAATATAAATAATAATTCATTATAGGTTCGTTGTGATGATTAAAGGTGATACATATGTAGGGGTTAAATACTTCATACAATCTACAGCACACAGGTGGTATTCAGTAGAAGCTGAAATTGTTATTGATATTATAAAATGCATTTCAAAACCAAGAGTGACAGTCTCCAATTATTACAATAATCTTCCACAAAATCCAGCTTCAGTTACCCATGAGGTAAATTTGACCTTTCTAAATATTCAGCATATATCTATAACTGAAAAGAGAGATTTCATTTCTTCAATTGACGAGTTCCATCTCTGTACTAGAGGAAGATGTAAAAATATATATCTAGAAATGAGAAAATATACCTCCATTACAAGTAGCTATTAACCAGTAGAGAAAATGTGTCTTACTCAAATATATATTTTATACTTCAAGAAATCTCTGGTGCAAGAAATAATATGACCCTAAATCAGCCATTTTTATATGTGGTCATACTTATTCATATACATTGTGTTCAACACATTCTTTGTGAAACATAAGGTAAAATGTCTGTCATTCCTTATTAGAAGCTTTGAGCAGTAAAATGCAAGGTATTTCAATCCCCCATTGAATATCCCATAATATTCATGTGTCCCTCAGGGGACAGTCAATATCATGGCCCATAGACCAATAAATGACTCACTTCTGGGTAGATCTAAAAAGTAAAGCCTAGCTAAGGGGTAGTCCAGGCCTGCGAACAAATCTCTGGTTTAGTTACCAACGGAGGGTCTACTGGCCCAGGAGATCACAGCTCGCTTGGGAGACTTCCAAAGTAAGGGGCTTGCAGGGAGGTGGAAGAGAGGAAGGCTTAGCCAGAATTCTATGGTGAAACTGGAACCTCAGGAAGAGGCCTACAGAGAATGGTGGAAGCCTGAGGATTACCACTCTAAAATAGCCATTCTGTATAGAACACTAGCAGATTCCAGGAGGCGAAGCATGTGTCCGTATCAAAGCAACGGCCATTTTACATTTCTGAGAAGGACCAGCAGCCAAGGCCAGTGTCCTGACCTTCTTAGGAGACTTGCATTCTTGCTCCCTATCAGAACTCCCTCCAAAAGTGGTATGATATTAACTGAAACATTCCCATGGTCACAAAGACGATAATTGCTATTAAACTTCTAGAAGTGTTCCTTATAGGTAAAAAGAACAGAATATGGCTGCAAAGAACAAAAATATGAGACATGGTTTGGAAAATGAGAAAAGTTTTCATTTTATTAGTTAGATTATATTGTATCCAATATAAATATACCGCCAGTATTTATAAGAGCAATATATCTTTAAGTCAAAATCCTGTTTTGCTAAAAATAAACTTTCCAGTAACTAGATCCCAAATAAGAGCCAACCTGGTAGGGGAGAAATTGCTAATTGTAATTCAATGTGCTAAGTGCAATAGATGCAGTATACTTGGATAGTATGGCAGTCTTGAGGGCAGAGTGAGGAGGAAAAGAGTATGAAGATTAGGAAAGGCTTTTTGGAGATGTCACAAGAGTTCTGAAGAAAATTTTTGAAAGACAAATAGGAATTCTACATGTTAACTATAAATTTAGATGGTATAGGTATATATTTTTAAATAGTTTATACTGCATCTACTTACAGGTTTAAGGTAACTGTCATGTGACACATAACTAAATGTTTTGGCTTGGCAGTGTAGTGAATTCCACCTCCTCTCCATCCCCACTTCTATCACAGTGATGTCTAAGGGACAGTTTAGATATTGGTAGTCATTGTAGGTCTCAGCAGATCGAATCAGATAGACTAAGTAGATCCTTATGCCCATACCTTCAAGAACACACTGAATTACAGGTAGTTGCTGGCCTCCATGGCTTTTGTGTACAGTGTAACTCCCCCTCCCACCCCCGCCACCACACACACACACAAAGTGGAAAAGGCCCTAAACCTTTGAAGAGTGCACTATTTAGGGACTCCCATGTTCAGAGCTGTCCTATCTCCTGTCTACAGCAGTGGGTTTCTTTTCCTTTATTGTAACAATGCTTGCTATCAGTAGCCTACATTGATACTTCTTTCTTCTGATTCTTGTCCCTTCTGTTGCTTCTCCCACACTTCTCAGCTTTCATGAAAAAAAAAAGGCTAGCCTTGCTACTCAGGGCCTTTCTTTCTTTTTCAGCTAAGAACCAACCAACTATAGCACAATGGACATAATCTTTGGATCTGACCATTCTTCAGTTGTTGCATAGTACTAAGGAGAACGTTCCTTCAGAGACAAAGAGCTTTGGTTTTTCCCCTCCCTCATTTCTACCAGGTAAAGAGATGCTTACAAAATTAGAGAAAGATCATCCCTAGATAGCTTAAGTCGTACTTTGGTAGTAGAGAAGCTTCTAGGATGTCACTGAAAAAGTGCTAGGCAGCAAGTAATCCCCATACAGAAAAGAGGTGACTGGGCTGGCCTTATCCATATTTTCTGTCAGTAGTATCAGCCCTTTTTCCCCCTCACTGACCCTCCTGAGAATTACAAGCATACCTCACTTTAGTGTGCTTCACAGATATTGTGTTTTTTACAAATCAAAAGTTTGCGGCAACCCTGCAGCAGGCAAGTTTATTGGCATCATTTTTCCAATAGCATTTGCTCACTTTGTGTCTGTGTCACATTTTGATAATTCTTTCAGTATTTCAAACTTCTTCACTATTATTATAGTTGCTATGGTGATCTGTGATCAGTGATCTTTGATGTTACTATTCTAAGTGTTTTGGGGTGCCCATATAAGACTGTGACTTAATCGATAAATGTTGCATGTGTGCTGACTGCCCCAGTGATTGGCTGTTCCCCCATCTCTCTCTCTCTTTTCTGGCGTCCTTATTCCGAGACACACTAACGTTGCAATTAAGGCCATTAATAACCCTACAATGGCCTCTAAGCATTCAACTGAACGGAAGAGTCGTACGTCTCTCACTTTAAATCAAAAGCTAGAAATGATTAAGCTTTATGAGGAACGCATGTCGAAAGACGACATAGGTGGAAAGTTAGGCCTCTTGTGTCTAACAGTTAGCCAAGTCGTGAATGCAAACCAAAACTTCTTGAAGGAAATCAAAAGTGCTACTCCAGTGAACACACGAATGATAAGAAAGTGAAACAGCCTTATTGCTGATATGGAGAAAGTTTTAGTGGTCTGGATAGAAGATCAAACCAGCCACAACATTCCCTTAAGTCAAAGCCCAATCCAGAGTAAGGCCCTAACTCTCTCCAATTCAATGAAGGCCAAGAGAGGTGAGGAAGCTGCAGAAAAGTTTGAAGCTAGTAGAAGTTGGTTCATGAGGTTTAAGGAAAGACGTCATCTCCCTAACATAGAAGTACAAGGTGAAGCGGCCAGTGCTGAGGTAGAAGCTGCAGCAAGCTCTCCAGAAGATCCAGCTAAGATCATTAATCAAGGTGGCTACACTAAACAATAGATTTTCAAAGTAGCTGGAAGAGCCTTATACTGCAAGAAGACGCCATCGAGGACTTTCATAGCTAGAGAGAAGAGGTCAACATCAGGCTTCAAAGCTTCAAAGGACAGACTGACTTTCTTGTTAGGGGCTAACGCAGCTGGTGACTTTAAGTTAAAGCCAATGCTCACTGACCATTCCAAAAATCCTAGGGCCCTTAGGAATTATGCTAAATCTACAATGCCTGTGCTCTATAAATGGAACAACAAAGCCTGGATCACAGCCCATCTGTTTACAACATGGTTGACTGAATATTTTAAACTCACTGTTGAGACCTATTGCTGCAAAAAACAGATTCCTTTCAAAATATTACTGTTCACTGACAATGCACCTGGTCACTCAAGACCTCTGACGGAGGTGTACAACAAAATTAATGTGGCTTTCATGTCTGCTAACACAACATCCATTCTGCAGCCCATGGATCAAGGAGTAATTTCAACTTTCTTATTATTTAAGAGATACATTTTGTAAGGCTATAGCTGCCATAGATAGTGATTCCTCTGATGGATCTGGGCAAAGTAAATTGAAAACCTTCTGATAAAGATTCACCATTCTATATGCCATTAAGAACATTTTTGTAAGTCCACGGACAAAGGTCAAAATATCAACATGAACAGGAAGTTGGAAGAAGTTGATTTCAACCCTCATGGACGACACTGAGGGGTTCAAGACCAGTGGAGGAAGTAACCGCAGATGTGGTGGAAACAGCAAAGAGAACTAGAATCAGAAGTGAAGCCTGAAGATGTGACTGAATTGCTGGACTCTGATGAAAAAACTTTAATGGATGAGGAGTTGCTTCTTATGGATGAGCAAAGAAAATGGTTTCTTGAGATGGAATCTACTCCTGGTGAAGATGCTATGAAGACTACTGAAATGACAACAAAGGGTTTAGAATATTACATCAACTTAGTTGACAAAACAGCAGCAGAGTTTGAGAAGACTCACTCTAATTTTGAAAGAAGTTCTACTGTGGGTAAAATGCTATTAGTCAGCAGCCATCAGCATGGACACAAGACCCTCCATCAGCAAAAAAGATTAAGACTCGCTGAAGGCTCAGATGATGGTTAGCATTTTTTAGCAATAAAGTATTTTTTAATTAAGGTATATTTTTAAGACATAATGCTATTGCACACTTAATAGACTACAGTATAGTGTAAACATAACTTTTATATGCACTGGGAGACCAAAAAACTCATGTGACTAGCTTTATTGTGATATTCGCTTTATTGCAGTGGTCTGGAACTGAACTCGCAATATATGAGATATGACTGTACATTTATATGTACCACACACTGCTGTCAGGAACTCTGGCTCAATAGTTCTCAAATGTTTTGGTCTTGGAACACCTTCACACTCTTAAAAATTACTGAGGACCCCAAAGAGCTTTTTGTTTATGTGTGGCTTATAACTGTCAATATTTACTGTATTAGAAACTAAAATTGAGAGAACTTAAATGTCTACTAATTCATTTAAAATAATAATAATAAATCCATCACGTTAACAAAAGTCACATTTTTATGAAAATAACTATTTTTCAAAACAAAAAAGTAGTGAGAAGAGTGACATTTATGTTTTTGCAAATCTCTTTACTGTCTGTTTAATATGACAGCCAAAGTTCACATCTGCTTCAGCATTCAATCTGTTGCGATGTTTCAACTGAAGGATGTGAGGGAAATCTGGCCTCACAGAGATATGTAGTTGGAAAATGAAAGAGTAACTGTGAATATTCTTCTTTGATATCACACCAAAACTCGACAAGTACAGCTTCTTAAAGGTAAGCTGCAATGTGGACTCTAAAGCCTGACAGGGAAACTTAACCTTCTGCATTATATTAAAATCCATTTGTCTATCTTGTACTTTGAATGGACCTTTTACTCCTGTATGATTTTGACAAACATTTTCTCAAAACTGAATGAAGTGATCTTGAAAATTCCAGGAAAACAGCTGACAGTATTTATTACCATGATGAAAAGAATGGTCAGATGGCAAAGATTATGTCCATTGTGCTCTAACTGGTTGGGTCTTAGCTGAAAAGGAAAGAAAGGCCCTGAGTAGCAAAGCCTTTCTGCACTGGTCATTGGAAAGACATTGGTTCACTGAGTTAGGAAGATCTTCCAAATGTTAACACATTTTGCTATACAACATCAAAAAAATCACAGCCATTAGTATCACCCTTGAACTCAAGAGGAGAGCCTTTAAGAACTGGGAAACTTTCATGATAATGGTGGCAGATACTCTCTAATTTTTCCTTGAAAGCTTGAATTTTATCACTGGCAATGAATACTGTCAGGTTTTTCTCTTTGAATTTCCAGAGTCACATTACTCATTTTTTAGAAAATTTTTATCAAATACCCAAGCCTGAATAACCAAAGTTTGTCTGACAGATGTCCTTTTAAGTAAAAATGGGGTTACATTTAAAAAGTGCTAGTTTAGCCTGCAACTACAAGTGCCCAAATTCTCTCCCTAGAGCCAACTAGTTGGCTGTGCAGATGAAGGCACTTTGTACTCTTCTCGTTTCATCACACAGGATATTAAAAAGATGGACACTCAAGGGCCAAAATTTAACAAAATTTACATTTTTACTGCTTCTTCAAGGACATTCTTAAGTGAAACAGGCATTTTTCCCACTATGAGTGTATGGCGGTGAAGAATATGAGGCTTACTGTTTGGTGCCCCTACCCTGACTATATACTAGGGGCCAGCACAGTTCTGCCTCCTCTCCTTTTGTACAAAGTGAAAAGGGCAATAAAGTCTTAGTATGATGATGAAAATAGTTCTGACCTCCCAGAGCCCTTGAAGGGGTCTTGGACATCCCCAGGGTCCAAAGAGCATATTTGAGCTGCTGTTTTATCTCATTAGGGAATTAACCAAACAACTGTTAACAGAGATAATAAAAACAGCCAGCTAACTCTTCTCCTTCCCCTCCAGTTGATGTGCAATAATATGTCAGAGTGGTTAAAATTCAAACTTCCAACTCATATTACCTGGAGAGTTTCAGGTCCCTACAGGCATTCCACAGATGCTGAAGCTGGGAGTGGGGACTTTCCCTGACGCCCTCAATACTGCAAGGGACAATTCGAACAGTCTTATTTATTACAGAGGCAGTATTAAGAATTAAATGGACTTCTTACTAGTTGTATGACAGAGGCTATGCCTCTCAACTTTTCTCAGTTTGTAAGAACCAATTGATAATGTGAAAGCACTTTAAAAATTGTGAAGGTCTGGACAAACACAAGTTATAACCCAATCCCTTCAAAAGGGAAAAAAGGAATGAAGAGATGGGGAGAAGAGGCTAAGAGACGTTTACTTCCATAACTCTTCTCCTAAATTAAAATAATTAAAAATTCTTTGGTTTACCCTAGATTTGCCCCAACTTCTATTAAGCACAATCATCCTTAACTCTCAGTCTTTTCAAACCAAATACCAATTTCCCTCATCTACTGAAGTGTCCAAAAGGCAATTTTATTTTTTTAATTGTTTGGAAAGCCAAAAGTGGCACATTGGATTACTGTTTAAGGGGGGAGAGGGATAGAATACAATTAGACATATGCAAATCAAAAATCAGTACACTGATCCTTCTAACTAAAAGCATAATACCTTTACCTTTCGTTTACAGGCAATAAGTAAACAGGACAAAGAAGTGAAAGCTAACCAAATTACTCAGTATATATTGAAATACAGCGCCACAACACACAAAGAACTAAGGTATTCTGGGAAGAGGGAAAATAAATAGGCCATTCTTTTTCTTTCTTATATTTATAGTTGTACTTTATGGTTTACAAAGTACTTTAACAAACATTACCTCTCTCGAGTTATGCAGCAACCTGTAAAACAAGTAGCAATGACCTACATTTTACAGAGAAAACTAGGCTTCAAGGAATTTAACTAACTTGCCTCAAATTAAAAGACCTGTAGAAGACCTAACTGGGAGCGTATCTTGTGGCTTCCAATCTCTCTACATTAGCAGTTACGTTTTAGCAGTTTATTTATTTGGTGGTGGGAGGGTTGGGGAAACAAGAAAATCCTTTACAAAAGAAATCTTACATTGAACCTGAACTATGAAACATATAAATATACAAAACAACGATTTTTATAAGTGTTTTAGTTATCAAGTAACAATTACTGATAACAATAAGTTTGTGTTCTCACAAGTAAAAATTTAACATGAACAGATATATACAGGAAGGAATTTTTTTTTAAGGCCAGAGCCTTCTTAATCAATGGCAATCTTTCTCATCAATGTCATATGAACAAAAAAGTTCAAATATACGTACAACAGTAGCAGAAGAAGTTTAATTCAAGGGCTACACAAGAATAACCTAATAAGAGATTTTTGGGTAGCCATATTTTTAAATTATAACTTTAAAATAATTTAAAATGTACGTAAAAATTTAATCCAACTCAAGCATTTCTGAACACTGAAGCATCTTAGGACTCCATAAAAAGCAGCTAGAAAGCCACTGCATAACTGTTTGCTGTCATAAATCCACTGCTTAATCCATGCTTAGGTCATTTAAGATAAAATTAAGTAAAAAACTGCTTTTGACAATCAAAAATATATACATAAGAAACCTGATTAACCAAAGCAGAATATAAGTACTAACTCCCAGTCAGAGCAATTCCATTCTGTTGGTTGAACCACATAAAACTGCTATGAACTGAGAATTTTGACTATAATAAAGGGTTCATATAGTTTAAGCTAATATTTCCAATTTTATTTTCCCCACTTCAGTTATAAAACCATCAAAAAGTTTTCAAAGTAAATGATTATATAAGCAGAGTGGAAAAGTGCAATAACCAACAAAGATATATCACTGGATCTACCTAAACATATCAAGATTTTTGAATGTTAAGTCCTGTAACTCATAGTGAAGTTTATTCACTTCAGTAGCACTAACTGCTCAATACTCAAAGTACATTGTAATATGCCACCTTTTATTTGTCAGAAGATGAGCAGACTGACAGTCACTTACCTTTCTTAATGCAGTTTGGCACTCCACTTTGAAATTTACCTAGTTTCATCACTGGAACTTCTTCAAATCAAGTGTATTACACTTCAAAACTCATTAACTTTTCCAAAGTAAATAGAAGCATTTCCTTTTTTCTTAAAAATTTTATTGAATTATTTCATTAATAACAGAGCAAGTTAGGAGTTACAGATTTGAGGATACTTTTGTTTGTTCACTTGTCTCCCTATATGGCTTACCTCTCAATTCTTTTTACTGGCCTAAGGTTACCAAATTAGGTATATTCAATATTTTAAGAAGTCTCTTTCTTCTGGAAGGCACTGAATCAAAATTGTAAAGGCACTTCTAAGAATAAATGTGACTCTCATACAACATACAATCCAATTTTCAGATATTGGGTTAAACCAAATTATTTCATTTGAAGGTGAACCCAGTTCCTTTTGAAGTTCCCCCCCAAATTCAACACATCGCAACAAATTAAGCCACTTAGAGAAAAAGGCTTCATGCCAAATATAAAGGTGACTCTTCCTCCATCATTAATGAAGATTCTAACAGCAAAGAGTAATTCACACTGGGTGTGCATGAGTTTCATCCTTCCATTATGAACTACACCAAACTAAAATTCAAAATGCTATGACTCACTTGGTTATTACTGAACACTTTACTAAGTGAAAACACAAGATAAATTCAGAGAATCACATTTTGAGAGTTAGAGATGAATTTTGCTTAGCGTTATATGCTTTCTACCAAAAAGAAAACCATCTCCTTATTAGAAATAAACTTACATGCTATTTTTAGAATGAAGAATTTAAAATGCTAAACACCTGATATCTTTTAAGAGCACTGACAATGGCACCCTTAAAAAGCTACAAATGTTGCCAAGTCATGTTATAACTGGCTCTAACAATCCTATTTCCATCTAAAGTTATTTCATGCTACTGCATGAATCAATACTAAATACCTTGGAGTTACTAAAAACTGGAACATTAGCAGAAGTATGCACAGCCATTATAAAATATGAAAAGGGTGAATATCCATTTTCTATATACCTCTTTCTTTTAATAATGGCTAGAAATGAGGATTATTCTTTCCAGGTAAATAGAAAGAGCTTCTTAAAAGCTAAGAGAAAGATATAAAGATGTTTCAAATGCTAGCACAGTGTAAGGGATCCATAGCCATGGTTCTCTCAAAAGAAAAATCAAATAGATTTTGAAGCCTAACATCACCTCCAAACATTTCATTAGCATACCACTGCCAGAGCCATTAAAAAAAATCCAAGTCAAGATAGCTCTTTTTTTCCTTATTCAGTAAAAAAATAAATAAATAAATAAATAGCTGTTATTTTTAACCAGACTTAAGTTTAATCAAATGTTTCTCAAACAACACTTTCCTCATGTTAAAGACATAACTGATGACTTTTAAAGTTAGGAAATAACCATCATCATCATTTTTTAAAAGAAGGTAAGTTCACACGACATCTGGTCCTGAAGTGAAAGAGTTAACATTCAACTAAGCTGATCTGCACTTCTGATCCATTACATTTCTCACAAGCCGCTCTACAATGAGCTGAGCAAGTATCAACTGTAATTTGATCCCAGAGTTTATGGAAAAAAATAACTGCACATACTCAACATGCACATTTAATAAAAATCTGTTTCAAGAGAAACATATCCAATAACCACAGTTTAAGGCATATTCAACTGTTCGATTAACTTCAAATCTGCAATCCCTTTGCTTTTTTTATGCTCTCAAATGAAATAGGAAAAAGAAAAAAAAAAGCAGCAGCAGCCCTGCTGCAGGGAAAAGAGGCTTGAAAAACAACTTTGATTGGCACTTGGCCTGACCCACAGAGGAAGAAAAACAGTTTTTGGACAAAGAGCGCAAATATTTGAGCTTGCTTACTTACACGCTTTCTTTCTTTTTCTGATATATAAAGAACAATCCCAATTGAACTGTATTTAGCGAAACTGACTAAAAACGGCGCCGTATTCATCTTGGTCTTTCAGTCCCGACGCATTTGCACAGCTCAGCAATTTTAATTCATTTGTACTGGACACACAGAAGCACCTCAACTAATGTTTCCACTTAATGAAATGCAAAAATAGACTTTGGAGAAGAATAAACTGATTATAATATTATGCAAAGGCGGCTGTGAAAGTCTGATTAAAAGCTTTTCTCGGTCTAAAACGACATCTTTTCACGGCACTCCCCCTCCCCCCCGCCCTTAACGGAGCGATTAAGCCAAGTAAGCTAAACAATACTGGAGAAAACTTTCTATCAGTCACTCTGGGAAGTAATAACATGATTGTGAGTCTGACTTTTCTGGACCATCACAAGGGGGCAAGGAGGTGCTAAGGGGGGATAACCCACGTCCGCCTCAGTCTCCTCCTCCCCCAACCCCAGCCTGAGGAACTGTGAGGTCGAATAGCATTTCCCATGGGCATAAAGTTTAAGCTGCTTTACCAGTTCCTTTCGGGACTGAACTATAGACCCAAGACGATTATCAGAAGAATGAAAAAAGGGGGTGTTCGGAAAGAGCGCGCAAGGAAGGCAAAAGCAACCGAATAAGCAAAAACAACGCCCGCCAGAGTTAGCCGCAGCAAAGAGGGGGCCGGTTCCTCAAGATCAGCCCAGGCTGCTCTGGTTTCACAGCGACCTCCATCCCCAGCAGCGGGAGAAGGATCGTACCGGTCCCTCCTTCTCTCCGCCCGAAGAGCAGGCCCGGGATGGAAAGGCAGGGAGGTGAGCCGAAAAACAGACCACAGGGACCAAAAAAAAAAAAAGGAAAAAGATCCCCAACCCCTCTGGACTACCGTCTGTCCCGGTGGAGATAAAAAACAGCAGCAGTGCCAACCCTCCACCCTAACCCACGCCCCCTTCTTCGGTCTCGGCGCAGCAAAGGTGCCCCGGGATCCCTCTGAGCCTCGCCCCAAGAGTGCGCCCCGGGGCCGAGCAGCCCGAGACCCGGCGGGAGGAAGGCCCCTCTCGGGCCGGACCCCAGGCCGAGCCCGTACCTTCCGCAGCACTTTCCGGCAGTTTGTACAGAGCAGGTAGTTGGCGGCGGCCGACGGGCTGCTGCTGCCCCGGTTCATTGTGGCTGCGGGCGCCGAGGGTGAGGGCAGGCTGCGGGCCGGGGCCGGGCTGTCACTGCGGCTGCCCGCGCCGCTGAGGGGCCTGACTGTCCCCCCGCCGCCGGCCGCGCTTCAGCCTCAGCCTCCTCCGGGCGGGATGTCGGGATGGGAAGCGACGGCCCGAGAGCAAGCGGCGCTGCCCGAGGCGACCACTGCGGCGGCTGCCAAAGCGACGGCGGAGACGGCGGCGGCTGCTCCTCACCGGCCCGTTGTTCCACCCCCCCCCCCCCCTCCCCCCCCCCCCCCCCCCCCC